GTTATTTTCCCAAATATTTTAATATATTTTAATTTTGTGATGCACTTTGAGTTCATTTTGTGCATTAAATGAATGTCCTGCTCTCTGAGCAACATTTGTTTAAAAGACTATTTTTCCACATTGATTATATGGCACATTTGTTGAAAATTCTCAACGATTTTATAACGATTATAGTGACATCGCTGTAGTGATATCCCCTCCTTAGTCCTGGTTGATGATTCCTGCCTTTCTTCTGTTTTGAATCTACATGGAGTTTTGTCCTTGTTAGATGTGCTTAACTGGTTCTTTTTTTCTGATGTGGACTCTCAGATAACAGCCTGGGACTACTGTTTGGTGTAATACCATGAATATTACACATTTGCTTTTGGCAGTGTTTGAACCCCATCACCCAATTGTGGTATCTGTGTTTCCATTTTCTTTCACTTGTATTCTTTTGTGATTTCCCTGGGATTAATTGATGCAAAAATTTAGAATTCGCTTGATTCTTTAACAAATGTATGGGGATTCCCCAGTGTTGGACCAAAGTTAAGATAGGCTGTAGAAAGGATCAACTATGGGGCTGGCCCTGGTCTGAGGAGGAGGCAGGGCCTTCAGTGTGACCCCCAGATCTGAAGAGGCCATCACCCCAGTTTCTCTGGTTCTAGGAGAATCTGTCTTGCTATCACAAACCACCCATCACAAGTCATCAGTGACACTGCTTAGGCTAAGGTGATGGGGCACTGTCACTCCCGGATCTAGTTGGGTTTCTGAATCTCCCAGAGTCTCAGTGGGTGTCTAGGACAGTCATGTGCATGGGATGCTGGGATCGTGGTGGGGCTGGTTCCCAGTGGTTTCCTCTTCTCATTGTAAGAGCCACTGCTGCAGCCTGTGCCTGAGGGTGGCTGTGTGAGCAGCTCTCTATTTCTACAATTACAATACCTGCCAGGGGCTCCTTGGAAGAGCAGGGGATTTACTTGAGCTCATAGTTTGTAGGTCCCCAGTCCAGGACTGGGCAACCCCACTGGTTCGGATATCTGGCCTGGCCTTTCCAGTTTGGATGAATTTAGTTTTTTTTTGTCTCCTGAGTATCCTCGTACAATTTGGAGTAGGAGCAAGAATGAGCATTTGTGTCTGGTTTGTATTCATGACCTTACAGGGAACTCTTTCAGTCTTTTACAAGTGCAGTGTTAACCTTTCCCCCCCCATTCATGTCACTTACCAGATGAGTGCATTCCCTTCTATTCTGATTCTGTTGATTTCTTCTTAATATGAAATGTGTTACATTTATCCAAGAAACCTTCTGAATCTTTTCAGGTCTAGTTTTATCCATTCTATTCTGGGAGATACTACTTTAGTTGTGTTTTGCCTGTAGAACCTTCTTTGCATTACTGAGATTATCCCACTTGGTCATGGTGTCTTTTTCTTTTATCACACTGCTGCATTTGATTTGCTAGTCATCTGTTGAAACTGTTGCATCTGTGGATTTTCTCTAGAAATACTTACATCAACATTTGGAATCAGTGACTTGCCAGTCTCATAGACTGAGTTGGAAACTATCCCTCCTTTGTATTTCAAACAGTTTGTGAAGGTTACAAAAGATTGGTGCCATGGTTTGGCTGTTGTGCATTTGTGTCTCCAAAAAGTTGAGTGTTGGAATCCTGGTTTCCAGTGTGTGGGTGTTAAGATGCACTTGGACTTTTAAGGGCCGGCGCCGCGGCTCACTAGGCTAATCCTCTGCCTAATGGCACCGGCACACCGGGATCTAGTCCCGGTCGGGGTGCCGGATTCTGTCCCGGTTGCCCCTCTTCCAGGCCAGCTCTCTGCTGTGGCCAGGGAGTGCAGTGGAGGATGGCCCAGGTGCTTGGGCCCTGCACCCCATGGGAGACCAGGAAAAAGCACCTGGCTCCTGGCTCCTGCCATCGGATCAGCGTGGTGTGCCGGCCGCCGCGCGCTGGCCGCGGAGGCCATTGGAGGGTGAACCAACGGCAAAGGAAGACCTTTCTCTCTGTCTCTCTCTCTCACTGTCCACTCTGCCTGTCAAAAAAAAAGATGCAGTTGGACTTTTAAGTGTGGGGATCTTGTGGGAGGTCATGGGGTCATTGGGGCCCTGCCCTTGGAGGGATCTCTCTAAATGAGTGACTTGTTCCCTGGAGTCCAGTTACAATGAAAGCACAGGACCATCTCCCAGGTCTCTGTGGCTTCCTTCTCCCCAGGTGGTCTCTGCCTCTTGCTTGAACTCCTACCACTGTGATGAACTGCTACCATCCTGCATTAGCTCTTCCCCTGGGGCGAGCTGATACTGGTGTCAGGCCCTGGAACCTCCACCCATGAATTAAATAATCCTGAATTTTTATGAATCATTCATCCTTAGGTATTTTGTTACCATGATGGAAAACAGGACTTTATACAAACAATTTGTATAAATCCTTACAATCTTGACAGAATCAGCCAGTGAATTCATCTGGTTCTAGATTTTGTGTAAGTTTTGGATGATTAACTGCATGTCCTTTCTACTTATATGTGTATTCTGATTTTCTGTTGTACTAACAGTTTTCTTGAGTTGTGAGTGACAGAAGTGTACATATTGAAAGCACATGTATGATAGATATCATTGCATATATCCCAGGTGACACTGATAGATGTCATTGCATATATCCCAGGTGACACTGGAACCACAGTCACTTTCAGTGTCCCCTGTGCGAATTTATTGTCCTTTCTCATGCATCTGCTTCATCCTTGTGTCCATACCCCATCGCTCACCTCAATTTTGTCTCCTGAGGTTTGAAACTTGGTACAAGCTCCAGTTACTATGTGTGTAATTTGAATAGAGCCCTTGGGTTTCCCCAGTAATTGTTGGGGTAACTTAAGCATTAATTACTGTCAACATGTATGTTTAAATTCTTAATTACATATAGAACACATGCCAGGAAATGCACACAAATGCATAGATAAATGAGTTTTTTTTTATCATCTGATCACCTGATGCCAACACGTGATTAGAACAAAGAATGACTGGTATTCCAAGGGACTTCACTGTTCTCTCCATTTTTTGTTAACTGGTGCAATAAGAGCATATTTTCACCTACATGGTATGATTCATTGCAGCTCTATATATAACTATACCAAGTGATGAGACACACAGATTTTTTTTACTGTCTGCAATTTAACTACCACAAGTAAGAGAAGACATATGGTATTTGTGTTTTGGGATTGGGTTATTTCACTTAGCGTAATGATCCCTTATGAATCCACTTTGTTAAATATGTCAGGATTTCATTCTTTACTGTGGTTGAGTAATATTCTATTATATATATACCCATCAGTTGATGGACATCTAGGTTCATTCCAATATGCTAGCTGTTGAGGGTTGAGTTGCTATAAACATGGGAGTGCAAGTAAATTTTCATATGCTGAATTAATTTTCTTTGGTATGATCCCAGGTTTGCTGGGTCATATGGCAGATATATTTGTAGTTTTCTGAGGAATCTCGGTAGGGCCTTCCTTCATTTTTTTCACCTGTTGCCTTCCAACCAACAGTGTACTGCGGTATTTTGTTATCTGCGTCCTTAACAACATGTTATTTATCAATTTTTAGATTACAGCCATTCTAACTGGGGTGAGGTGGCCCTCATTGTGATTTTAATGTGTGTTTCCTTGATAATCATGATTCTGAGCTTCTTTCATGTTACTGGTGGCCCTTTGTACTTTTGCCTTGAAAATATCTTTAAATATTCTTTGCCCATTTCTTTCTTTTAAAGATTGATTGATTTATTTGAAAGGCAGAATTATAGACAGGCAGAGGCAGAGAGAAAGAAATCTTGTATCCGCTGGTTCACTCCCCAGATGACCCCAACTGCTGGAGCTTGGCCTTTCTGAAGCCAGGAGCTTCTTCTAGGTCTTCTATAAGGGTGCAGTGACCCAAGCCCTGGGGCCATCTTCTGCTGCTTTCCCAGGCCATAGCAGAGAGCTGGTTTGTAAGTGGAGCAGGCAGGACTAGAACCAGTACCTTATGGGATGCCGGCACTGCGGATGGCAGCTTTGACCACTATAGCAGAGCACCAGCCCTGCCTTTCCCATTTCTTAATAACAATGTTTGTGCTCTTGAGATTTTTGAGCTCCTTATTTATTCTGGACATTAATTCTTTATCATTTTGATAGTTGGTAACTTTTTTCTCTCATTCTGTTGGTGCCCACCCACTGTCTTTTTCTTCGCTGTGCAGAAGCTTCTGGGTGTAATTCGGTGAGTATCTTTGTTATTTTATCGCCTGTGCTTATGGAGTCTTTTCTATGAAGTGCTTGCCTTGGCCAGTGTTGTTCAGCATTTTTCCTGTGTTTTCCTCTAGCAATTTGATGGTCTCCGGTCTTAAGCATAGATCTTGATCCTCTGTGAGTTATTTTTGTAAAGGGTGTAAGGTGGGCACCTTATTTATACTTCTGCATGTCGAAATAAAATTTTCTTACACTCTTTGTTGAAGGAGTCTTCTTTATCCAGGGAACAACTTCTGACTGTTTGTCAAAGATCACCATTTTTTAGATGCAAGGATTAATTTCTATGATTTGTATTGTGTCCCATTGGTCAATAGGCCTATTTCAGTGCCCTTAGCAGTACATTTTGATAACAATAGTTATATAGTATATCTGGAAACCTGGTATTGTGATGTCTTCAGCTTTGTTTTCATTGATTGAGATCACTTTGGCTATTTGTGGTCTTTTGCATTTCTATATGAATTTCAGAACTGCTTTTTCTAGTTCTGTGAAAAAAGTCCCTGGAATTTTGTTTGGTATCATACTGAATCTGTAAGTTGCTTTGGGCAGTGTGGAGATTTTCATGGTATTAATTCAATCGCATGTACAGGGAGAATTTTTCCATATTTTTGGAAATTGTGTATGTGGTTGTTGGATGGTATCCCACAGATGTGGAACACTGTGTTCAGGCTGGCTAATTTTTTTCTTCTTACCCCTTGTTTCTGGTCTGAAATATTTCAAAAGACCTATTTTCAAGATAAGATATTCTGTCTTCAGTCTCACCAGTTTGCTGCGAAGGTTTCCACTGTATTTTTGATTTGACCTAATGAATGCTTCATTTCCAATATTTCTGTCTTTTTACATAACTATCACTTTCCTTAATTTCTTATGTGCTGATTCCCTGGTGTCAGTTAACTGTGTTGTGGAGTAACCTTACAACTTTTCTTTTGGATTCTTATTTCATGCCTAGAGTCAAACTCCCTATTCATAGGATTTGCTCAAAGACACACATAGTATTTATTAATGAACAATTAAACACTTACTCTTCTCCCCCATAGATTTGAAAAACTTGATGATTTGTTTCTCACCACTTATTAGTACAAAAGGTCCAATCATTGTGTAGCCGTTGCCCACCAACAGTTGGACACACAGGCGCACTGGGTAACTCTTCCACCACAGCCCTGAGAATGAGACACAATGCAGTCCAACAGGTAAAGGAGCACAAAGACGCTCATGAGCAGCAGGATGGTGCAGGTGGCCCTGTGCTCTGGGGAGGCTCTTGGAGAGAGGCTGGTGCTGTGAACGTGCTGGGACCGCCTCTTGTGCCTGCACAGGAGACTCACCATGTGCCCACTTGAGATGGCCATGAGCCCTGTAAGGGAGACATCCCTTAAGATCCACAAGATGAAAAATGTGTACCTGGGAAAGTAGCTCAGGGGCCAGAGAGAGCAGGATTTAGTGACAAACATAAGACTGTTGGACGTATGATTTGTGGTAGCAACAGAGGAGATTAAGAAATGAGTACTAACAGACAAATTGAAGATCGATAGGAAGAGAAACCCACCATGGTTGTGATGTGAGGGTGTGTGCTTGATCTTTGCCAAGTAGGAGCTCCTGGGGCTGAGGGTGATGGCCTGGAGGACACTCAGCAGGCAGGTGGTGCACAGGGAGAGACCCTGCAGGATGCGGTACAAGTAGAAAACCGATTTATACATGACGTCATTCCAGAAACCCCATGGGCAGAAAATGTCTGTGATGAGGAAGCCCATGATTAGCAGCATCACTAGGTGGATGAGGGCCAAGAGGCCAACGGTCAGGTCCAAGGGCTTGGGTCTGTGCTGGAGAAAAAACGTGAGGATGTGGAAGAGAAGAAGCATGGTGTTGGCGGAGACCCCAGTGCCAACTTCAGAGAAAAGGGTGTATCTTCTGTCACTGGCGTGGTCCTTTTTGTTTTTATTCATCTTGTAGGGAAAATAGTAATGCAGTAAATATGAATCCACACTACAAAAGTCTCCACAATCTTTGGGGAGACTGCAATAATGATTTACACCAGTAGAATACAATCTTCAAATTATCATTGTACAAGTTTACCAAAGTATTTAAAATTGTTGAAGAATGGCAATTTGATACTTTTAAAATCTTGTCACTTTATGTTTCTGAGAAAAAAAATTTCATCATTGGCTAGAAAATAACTGCAAACTTCATTATTGTAAAATACTTATATTATGAAAATTTCCCCCTTTAACCTTATTTAACTAGGCAATTCAGTGGCATTAAGTACATCCCACTGTTGTACAACCACACCCACCACCCATTTCCAGAATGTTCTCTTCTTTCTGCACTGAATTCTGTGTCCATTAAACAAGAATTGCACTTTGCTCCTGTCCATCAGCCTCTGACCACCTTCTGAGAGGAGATTCTTAGAACACCTGTTATTTGGTGGCTGAATGATTTCACTTAGCATAATGTATTCAAGGTTCATGACAGAATTTCCTTTTTTTTAACTTTTATTTAATGAATATAAATTTCCAAAGTACACCTTATGTATTACAATAGCTTCCCCCCATAACATCCCTCCCACCCGCAACCCTTCCCTTTCCCAATCCATCTCCCCTACCATTCCCATCAAGATTCATTTTCAATTCTCTTTATATACAGAAGATCAGTTTAGCATACATTAAGTAAAGATTTCAACAGTTTGCTCCCACACAGAAACATAAAGTGAAAAATACTGTTTGAGTACTAGTTATAGCATTAAATCTCAATGTACAGCACACTAAAGACAAAGATCCTACATGAGGAGTAAGTGCACAGTGACTCCTGTTGTTGACTTAACAAATTGACACTCTTGTTTATGGCCTCAGTAATCACCCTAGGCTCTTGTCATGAGCTGCCAAGGCTATGGAAGCCCCCTGAGTTCACTGACTCTGATCATATTTAGACAAGGCCATGGTCAAAGTGGAAGTTCTCTCCTCCCTTCAGAGAAAGGTACCTCCTTCTTTGATGACCCGTTCTTTCCACTGGGATCTCACTCGCGGAGATCTTTCATTTAGGTCTTCTTTTTTTTTCCCCAGAGTGTCTTGGCTTTCCATGTCTGAAGTACTCTCATGGGCTTTTCAGCCAGATCTGCATGCCTTAAGGGCTGATTCTGAGGCCAGAGTGCTGTTTAGGACATCTGCCATTCTATGGGTCTGCTGTGTATCTCATTACCCATGTTGGATCGTTCTCTCGATTTTTTATTCTGTCAGCTAGTATTTGCAGACACTAGTCTTGTTTATGTGCTCCCTTTGGCTCTTAGTCCTATCATTATGATCAATTGTGAACAGAAATTGATCACTGGGACTAGTGAGATGGCATTGGTACATGCCACCTTGATGGGATTGAATTGGAATCCCCTGGTATGTTTCTAACTCTGCCGTTTGAGGTAAGTCAGCTTGAGCATGTCCCGAATTGCACATCACTTCCCACTCTTATTCCCACTCTTATATTTAACAGTGATCACTTTTCAGTCAAGTTTCAGCACTTAAGAAGAATTGTGTATTGATTACAGTATTCATCCAAAAGTATTAAGTAGAACAAACAAAAAAAATACTAAGAAGGATAACATATCAAGTTGCTCATCAACAGTCAGGGTGAGGGCTGATCGAGTCACCGTTTCTCATAGTGTTCATTTCACTTAAACAGGTTTCCTTTTTGGTGCTCAGTTGTCACCTATCAGGGAGAACAAGTGGTATTTGTCCCTTTGGGATTGGCTTATTTCACTCAACATAATGTTTTCCAAATTCCTAACAGGGATCGCTTTTCAGTTAAAATTTAAACACCTAAGAACAATTGTGTGTTAATTACAGAGTTCAACCAATGGTACTAGAACAAAAAATACTATAATGGATAAAGTATTACATTGTACATCAACGGTCAGGACAAGAGCTGATCAAGTCACTGTTTCTCATAGTGTCCATTTCACTTCAACAGGTTTCCCCTTTGGTGCTCAGTTAGTTGTCGCCGATCAGGGAGAACATATGATATTTGTCCCTTTGGGACTGGCTCAATTCACTCAGCATGATGTTTTCCAAATTCCTCCATCTTGTTGCAAATTACCGGATTTCGTTTTTTTGACTGCTGTATAGTTTTCTATAGAGTACATGTCCCATAATTTCTTTATCCAGTCTACTGTTGATGGGTTGGTTCCAGGTCTTAGCTATTGTGAATTGAGCTGCAATAAACATTAATGTGCAGATTGCTTGTTTGTTTGCCAATTTCATTTCCTTTGGGTAAATTCCAAGGAGTGGGATGGCTGGGTTGAATGCTAGGGTTATCTTCAGGTTTCTGAGGAATCTCCAGACTGACTTCCATAGTGGCTTAACCAGTTTGCATTCCCACCAACAGTGGGTTAGTGTCCCTTTTTCCCCACATCCTCTCCAGCATCTATGTTGGTAGATTTCTGAATGTGAGCCATTCTAACCGGGGTGAGGTGGAACCTCATTGTGGTTTTGATTTGCATTTCCCTGATTGCTAGTGATCTTGAACATTTTTTCATGTGTCTGTTGGCCATTTCGATTTCCTCTTTTGTAAAATGTCTATTGAGGTCCTTGGCCCATCTCTTAAGTGGGTTGTTTGTTTTGATGTTGTGGAGTTTCTTGCTCTCTTTGTAGATTCTAGTTATCAACCCTTTATCAGTTGCATAGTTTGCAAATATATTTTCCCATTCTGTCGGTTGCCTCTTCACTTTCATGACTGTTTCTTTTGCAGTACAGAACTTCTCAATGTGATGCAATCCCAAATGTTAATTTTGGCTTTGACTGCCTGTGCTTCTGGGCTTTTTTCCAAGAAGTCATTGCCGATACCTATATCTTACAGGGATTTTCCAATGCTCTCTAAGAATTTGATGGTGTCAGGTCATAGATTTAGGTCTTTAATCCATGTTGAGTGAATTTTTGTGTCAGGTGAAATGTAGGGATCTTGCTTCATGCTTCTGCATGTGGAAATCCAGTTTTCCCAGCACCATATAATGAATAGACTATCCTTACTCCAGGGATTGGTTTTGGATCCTTGATCAAATATGAGTTGGCTGTAGATGTTTGGGTTGATTTCTGGTGTTTCTGTTCTGTTCCATTGTTCTATCCATCTGTTTCTGTACCAGTACCATGCTGTTTTGATTACAACTGCCCTGTAGTATGTCCTCTAATCTGATATTTTGATGGCGCCGGCTTCGTTTTTGTTGTGCAAGATTGCTTTAGCTATTTGAGGTCTCCTATGTCTCCATATGAATTTCAGCATCATTTTTTCCAGATCTGAGAAGAAGGTCTTTGGTATCTTGATTGGTATTGCATTGAATCTATAAATTGCTTTTGGGAGAATGGACATTTTGATGATATTGATTCTTCCAATCCATGAGCATGGAAGATTTTTCCATTTTTTGGTATCCTCTTCTATTTCTTTCTTTAAGGTTTTGTAATTTTCATCGTAGAGATCCTTAACGTCCTTGGTTAAGTTTATTCCAAGGTATTTGATTGTTTTTGTAGCTATTGTGAATGGGATTGATCTTAGAAGTTCTTCCTCAGCCATGGCATTGCCTGTGTATACAAAGGCTGTTGATTATTGTGCATTGATTTTATACCCTGCTACTTTGCCAAAATCTTCTATAAGTTCCAACAGTCTCTTAGTAGAGTTCTTTGGGTCCCCTAAATAAAGAATCATATCATCTGCAAAGAAGGATAGTTTGAGTACTTCCTTCCCAATTCGTTTCCCTTTAATTTTTTTTTTCTTGCCTAATAGCTCTGGCTAGAACTTCCAGAACTATATTGAATAGCAGCGGTGAGAGTGGGCATCCCTGTCTGGTTCCAGATCTCAGTGGAAATGCTTCCAACTTTTCCCCATTCAATAGGATGCTGCCCGTGGGTTTTTCATAAATTGCTTTGATTGTATTGAGGAATGTTCCTACTATACCCAATTTGCTTAGAGTTTTCATCATGAACAGGTGTTGTATTTTATCAAATGCTTTCTCAGCATCTATTGAGATAATCATATGGTTTTTCTTCTGCAGTCTGTCAATGTGGTGTATCACATTGATTGTTTTGCGCACATTGAACCATCCCTGCATGCCAGGGATAAATCCCACTTGGTCTGGGTGGATGATCTTTCTGATGTGTTGTTGCATTCTATTGGCAAGAATTTTATTGATGATTTTTGGGTCTATGTTCATCAGGGATATTGGTCTGTAATTCTCTTTCAATGCTGCATCTTTTTCCGGCTTAGGAATTAAGGTGATTCTGGCTTCATAGAAAGAATTTGGGAGGGTTCCCTCTTTTTCGATTGTTCTGAATAGTTTGAGAAGAAATGGAATTAGTTCTTCTTTAAATGTCTGGCAGAATTCAGCAGTGATTCCATCTGGTCCTGGGCTTTTCCTTGTTGGGAGGGCGTTTATTACTGTTTCAATTTCTGTTTCAGTTATGGGTCTATTTAGGTTTTCTATGTCTTCCTGGTTCAATTTAGGGTCTTTTCTCTTCTTTTTTTAGTTAGTTGGGCCAATGGGGTGTCAATTTTGTTTATTTTTTCAATAAACCAGCTCTTCATTTGGCTGATTTTTGTAATTTTTTTTTATATTCAATCCTGTTGATTTCTTCTCTGATTTTAATTATTTCTCTTCTCCCACTAGATTTGGGTCTGGTTTGCTGTAGATTTTCTAGATCCTTGAGGTGAATTGAAAACTCATCTATTTGGTGCCTTTCCAATTTCTTGATGTAGGCACCTATTGATATAATCTTTCCTCTTAACACTGCTTTTGCTGCGTCCCATAAGTTTTGGTATGTAGTGCTGTTATCCTCATTTACTTACAGAAAATTTTTGATTTCTCTTTTAATTTCTTCTATGACCCAGTGTTCATTCAGGAGCATGTTGTTCCATCTCCATGTGTTTTCTTATGCTCTAGGGATTCCTGAATTGCTACTTTCCAACTTCATCCCACTGTGGTCTGAGAAGCTGCATGGTATGATTCTAATTCTTTTGAATTTGCTGAGACTTGCTTTATGGCCTAGTATG